TCCCTTTTCTTGTGCTGCTCAATTCACTCCTTCACCTCAATTTTCTTTCTTTTCTGAATGCAAACGTCACGTTTCTTCTGTCTCTTATTCAAGTTTCACAAAATCCTCGAGGTTCAACATCGTTCTGCTTTTTAAGCACAAGCGGTTTGGACCACTAGTAGACCACTCAAGCCAATTTGACCTAAACAGACTTTTAAAATTGATGCGTTTTCGCTAAAGAAAATTCCGGAGTGCTACCTTTGTTTATATTATCATTAATTTCATTTTCCTGTCCAGCATTGAATTCGCCCAGGTCCAGATTATCCTGACAAAAAATTTTAAATACACGCGAGTGTATACAAGTAATAAGAAGCAGCTAGTTCAGAACTGAGAATAGAGCTAACAAAATACTGTTTGGGAGAGCAAGAATTGTACACATTTGAAAATTAATTTATCAATCGGCTTTCGAAAATTTTGCAGTTACCAGAAATTTTAGAATTTACCTAGGAATAAGCAGCAGCTACAGTAACCTGCACTCACCAACGATGAGTAAACAAGAGCGCAAATTGGCCATCCAATAGACATTTGGGGAGAGGGGGAGGGGTGCGAGGCACTTTTAAAATACAGTTGTTGGGGCAACTTGGATATGTCGTAATCTACAGCTGAAGCAGCGGCTGTCAGGTAGCAGTAGAGAAAAACCGGCACGAATTTATACCTTGGAAAAAAGAGGCAGGGGAAGAGAATTAGAGCCTTCTTCATTACCGCAAATCCCCCTGGCAGGTCATTGAATCGAGCTAGTGATGTAAAATGAGGCAGAGTTCCTGATTAAGACGACTTAGTTTGTAATTATCCAGGGTCAGAATCTAGAATGGCCATTTCAGAAACAGTACAGAGGAGTGGCAAGCAGATTCTCTCATTATTACTGTGTTTACTTGTTAGAAATAGAAAATTTTTTGCTGTGTAAGTCGATATATTTAATTTTTTTGATGCAGTTTTAAGTTTCTCAGTTGATATTAACACCATTAAAAAAAAAACGAGACCGCCCGGGCAATCAGTGTAATTATTCAGTTTTACTAATGTTACTGGGATGCTCTTGCATACCAACTCTTCTATCCTGAGCTGCATATTTTCAGTACCCGCCACCTAGTTGTTGTGCTTGCATCACTTTTCGAAGCTATCTGACTGGCTGATTACGGGCCTATTCGTTATTTTTCACTTCGCACATTTTTGCTAAATTCTGCCGGTGTTCAGATAAATTTTTTTTTTCTCCTTTCCTTCTCGTAACTCAGTTTTCTGCGAGGGATTGCTCTGTCCATTCTACTCGATACTGATGATCCCGGGTCTCTACGCAAAAAATGGTGACGCCCTTCGGGAAAATAGCCGGCTGTCTCCGTGCAACGAAAACAAACTTGCTGCTGCAGCGGCGCAACAACTTTTGAAAGCTGCCTGTCCGATAGCTCACGAGCAGTAGCAAAGTGCTGGTCCTGAAACTCTTCTGCTGCTTGTCGTCGCTGTGGATTCTGGTTGTTCCACATTTGATCACTGTACCCAGTCGTACCCATGAGTACAACAATCCCCGCGCTGGTGTTTCTTCGATTAAGGAGAAATCGTTTTTACGGTTTCGTGACCGCGTCAGAAAGAGACTAAGGGGAACGCTCGACAGGGCGGTAAGAACTACAAAGTTGAACTGGAGCAACTAGCTGAAAGTTTTTTCTTTTATAATTGCGCAAATCTGCATATTCACTTACCGAGTTTGCATATTCAGTGATTGAAATTTGCCTAATCAGCAGCTAAAGTTAGATCTAATCTAAACTTTTGTTTCATCGTTGTTTTATGCGTTTTTTGCAGCTATGCAATGCAGAAAACGCATATTGACGAGGGGTTGTGTGTGTTGGCGTCTGCACCCATTTTTCATCTCAACACCTATAAAGCTACAGGGCTGAAACTTTGGGAACTTAATCTGCGTGCACGTACGGTATTGAATCCCCAAAATGGGCGCGTTCTTACTCGCATGGTACCTAAGTACGAGCCCGCCAAGGTTTTTTACAGGTAAGCTACTAACTCGGGAACCAGACGTCCTCCAAAATTTTAAGGGGATGTTCCCCATCCAACCGGGTGTTGGTGAGCTGAAATCCAGCCCCCGAGGAAGCGTGGCACCCATGCACGGGCCCACCAAAATTTTTTTCGTGTAAGTCGCTAACATGGGAATCAGGAACGTTGGGAGGCTGAAATCTTGAGGAGATGTCCCCCGTCCAAGTAGGTATTGATATGCTCAAACCCACCACCCCCAGGCAAGCGCTGTAGCCAAATACGGGCTCGCGAAATTTTTTTTTTTTTCGGGTCAGTTCATAACTCCAGAATTTGAAAAGCTGGACGACTGTAATTCTAAGAGGACATTCCCCGTCCATCTCTGTCTCATTCAGCTCAAACCCAGCTCCCGAATGTGCGTGATACTCGCGTATGGGCCCACCAAAACTTTTTTTGGGTAAATCGCTAACTTGAGAACCAGAGAAGCTAGAAGGTTGCAATCTCATGTGATTGTTCGTCCTCCAAGTGTGTTTTAAGGAGCTCAAACCCAGCCCCTTATTAAGCGTGATACTCGCGTGCGCCAAAGTTTTTTTCGGGTGAGTGGCTAACTCAGGAGTCTGAGAAGCTTGAAGGCTGAAATCATATTGAGGTGTTCCCCATCCAAGCGGATACTAAGGAGCTTAAACTCAGCCCCCGAATATGCGTGATACTCGCGTATGAGCCCGCCAAAGTTTTTTCCGGGAATCTGAGAAGCTAGATGGCTGCAATCTTAAGGATATGTTCTTCGTCCAAGTAAGTATTAATGAGCTCATACCCAGCCGCCGGGTGAGCATGGTACCCAAGTACGAGCCGCCAAAGTTTTTCCCTGGTAAGTTGCTAACTCGGAAACCTGGAAAGCTAAAATTTTCAAATCTTGAGAGGATGTTCCCGTTTACTTAATCTCAGTCAGCTCAAACCCAGACTCCAGCTATGAGTGGTGACCGCGTACAGGCTCGCCAAATCTTTTTTCGGGTGAGTGACTAATTCAGGAGTCTGAGAAGCTAGAAGGCTGAAGTCATATTGGAATGTTCTCCATCCAAGCGGGTACTATGGAGCTCAAACCCAGCCCTCGAATATGCGTGATACCCAAGTTTCCAAAATCTCTTCTGGGTAAGTCGCTAACTCGGGAATCTGAGAAGCTAGAGGCTGCAATCTTAAGGGCAAGTTCCCCGTTCAAGTGTGTACTAAGGAGCTCAAGCTCAGATTCCAACTATGCGTGGTGCTCGCGTGCGGGCCCGCCAAAATTTTTTTTCGGGTAAGTCGCTAATCGGTAACCAGAAAGGAAGGTTGAAATTTTAAGAATGTTCCCCGTTCAAGCGAGTACTGATGACCTCAAGCCCAGCCCCCGGGTAAGGGTGGTGCTTGCGTACAGGCCCGCCAAATTTTTATGCGTTTTTGCCTATATGCAAATTGCAACCCAGGCTGGAACGCACCAGGCGGGCCGGTGC